TCATAGTGAGACCCTGTCTCAAAACAAATACCCCCAAAAAAATATATATGTAAAAATTAAGGCTTTACTCCTCCTAGTTTGGTGACCTGAATACACAAGAGAGACAAGAGGAAGTACACTTCTTTTACTTTTTTGGCAGTGCTGGCAATTGAACCCAGGGTCACATATACTTTGCAAACATTCTACCACTGAGCTACAGCACTGGACTTTGTTTTATTTAATTTTGTTTTTTTGGAGGGGGTACAAGGAATTGAAGCCAGAGAAGAGCTGGGTATGGTGGTACACACCTGTGGTCCCAGCACTTGGGAGGCTGAGGCAGGAGGATCACCATGAGTCCAAGGCCAAGCTGGGCTACATAGTGAGTTCAGGGCCAGCCTGAACTACAGAGTGAGACCCTGTCTCAAGAAAAGAAAGAATGAATGAAACCTGAGAAGACTAAGCTACATCCCAGCCCTTTCACTAAGTTACTGAGGTTGGCCTCAAATTTCAATCCTCCTGCTTCATTCAGCCTCCCCAGTACCTGGGACTATCAGCATGTGCCACATACTCACTTTGGTTTTTATTTGTTTGTGTCTTTTAATGAAAAATGCTGGGCTGGGGATGCAGCTCAGTGGCAGAGTATATACTTAGCATGCATACACAGAAGAAATTTTATTTGAATTCAGCTTAAACTATTCTATTTATTTATTTATTTTTATTGTGCTGGGGATTGAACACAGGGCCTTCGTGCTAAGCTACATCCCCTGCAGTCTTTATTTTTTATTTTGAGACAGGGTCTTGGTAAGTCTCCACGTTGCCCAGACTGGGCTTGTACTTGTGATCTTTCTGCCTCCACCTCCCAGAGTGCTGGAATTATAGCCACCATCACTGGCTTCTTAACCATATTTTAGCAATATTAGCATATTTCATAACTTTTGCAATTAGAGAGGGGACCCCAGTATTCCAAGTCTTAACCGGTGGGACTGAGTGCCCAACCCCCCCACATACATAGTTTAGTGTTCACAGGCAAGAGGCTGCTACAGTGCATTTGTTTTTACCCCTGACCCAGGGTGAGCCCAGCGGCAGCACTTGGGGAAGTATCTTCACACTGCCAATGAATGAGGAAGAAAACACGATTTGCAAATATTAAGTGACAAATGTGTTCGCAGTGCCACTAAGGTGGCCAGGTACATCTCTACAAGGACGAGCACTCTGCGGCCATGAGAAAGTCCTTCCTGAGCTTAGAAAAGCAAGAACTAGGCGACTGTCGCTGCCTCTGGCCTCGGAAGTGTGGGCCAGTCTGCACGCTCAGGCTGCAGGGCTTGGCTATCGAAAGTGCTGTCCTAATGACAGGAAGTCCTAACAGTCCAGGGTTACTTTCGGGAAGGGTCACAGAGCACCATCGTAGAGCACTTGCCTGTTTAGCGATCCAGCCCTTTCCACCCTCCTGCCCCACAAACCACTGATCTGCCACCTGTCACCGTGTACCTGTCTGTCCTGGGCACTTCACAGCCATGGATCCCAGGAGTACAGAACATGGTTGGGCTGTCTGGCTTCTGTGTTTTAGTACATTGTCATGGTTCCTCCACAGTTGGTCAGATTCATTGTATACATAGACCCCTGTGGTCAGCTAATGAATATTTCCTCAGGGCATTTTTTACATAAAACCCTGTTTGTTAGTCCAGCATGATGGTGCACGCCTGTCATCCCAGCTCTTGGGAGGCTGAGGCAGAAGGATTTCTGCTACATTGAGCTCAAGGCCAGGCTGAATACATAGGGAGACCCTGTCTCAGAAAAAAAAAAAAACCCAAAAGACATTTCCCAGCATTCAGTATTTGCCTGAGCAAAAAGACAATCAGGATTAGATTATAGACTTGACTGATAAATAATAGGCTATAGATGTTAGAATTTTTAGGATTTTGAAAATATTTTTTCTTCAGTTTGTAAAACAGTTTCAAAAGTTCACAGAAATCTTCAAATGTACAAACAATATACAAACTCTCACATCAGTCCTGCAGCCTCAAAAAATTACATGCTATTTTAAGTCTGATTATTAGTAATAATTAAGCCCATCTGGTTAGTGGGCAGTTCTGTTTTTGTGGAAAGCAATTGAGTGGGAAAATGTGTTATTACTATTCATTGTTTCATTACCCCTCTTGGTAAACAGTCTGAATCACAAGGCCAAATTACCAAGAAAGAAATAAAGAACTCTGGGTCGTACAGAAACCATCTAAGGCCTTTGATTTACCATATTTAAATGTCGATTCCAGAGCGGCCCCTACATCAGAAGGTGTCCAGGAATCTACATGTCAGGGTTTATAAAATGACAGTAAAGTTTATCCCGGTATTTTAAGGCACAGAGCCTTCCCAACAAGCAAATTATGTTAAGCTTGTCACCTCATTAATGCTTTTTAATCATCAGAGGCAAAACTGGAAAGGACAGATTTTAATGGGAGCAGCCTTTCTCATACATCAGTGAATTCAGAAGTGCTGGTGGTTGAACACTCTGTCCCCTCACTTCCAGCTTGTTTTGTTTTGGAGACAGGGTCTCACTATGTAGTTCAGGCTGGCCTCAAACTCACAGCGATCCTACTGCCTCAGCTTCCTGAGTGTGGGAATTACTGGTATGCACCACCATGTTGGCTTACTTCTAGTTCCTCCATCCCCTCACTTCTGGCTTTTGAAGCCCAGTGGAGCCTCCTCTCGAAAGTGGCATTGGCTGTTTCTCTGGAGCCCGTGACTCTAGTTCTGAAAGTCGTTGTCCACTGGGTGGGCAGCAAGGTGGCTTGTCGCCATCTTGGAGGGCGAGCAGGTGTGATGTCATCTTCAAAGTCTGCGTGCGTCTCTGTGCATGAGACCCAGGGGCTCTGTCCTTTCAGGGAAAGCCAGGCTTCCTGAGACCCGGGGGCGGGGGCTGAGGAGGGCTGTCGGGGGACCGGGGAGGGAGCAAGGTTCCAGGCTGAGTCTGAGTGCTCTTCCTGATGGTGGAGACCAAACCTCCCACCATCCGCACACAGCTGACACCTTGTCCTCAAGCCCATGGAGTCGCTGGCCGCAGGGAACAGGCTGCCCGGAGTGTAGACAGCGCAGCACTGGGCCGGGGCGGGAATGGCTGCGCCCCTGATGTCCTGCATGGCCCCCTGCCAGACGAGGACAGAAGGGCAGTGTCTGTGGACCCAACCACATGGACAGGCCCCAGAGGCTCAGCTGAGCCAGCATTATGAGAGGGACTAGGAGCTCCTTCCTGTCCCCAGCGGGCTCGGTGCTCCCCATCTGGATGGAGCCCGGGCTGGCTGCTCCCAAGATCTCCCTGTGCAGCCTGTGCTGACTTGTGGGGGAGAAGACGGCCTGGTCCGTTGGTGCCGAGCTGCGTCCCCCTCCCAAGCCCTCCAGGCACTTGGCCCGACATCGTCCTGCCCGACATCGTCCTTGTTTGTTCAGCCCATGTCCTCTGCCTCCCTCTTCTGAGTGTGTAGCCTTGGTTGCTGCCGTTCTCCACCCCTTCCTGCCTCTCTGTTCCCGAGTTACAAGGAAGTCTCAAAGACCAGCCTTTTGATTTCCTGGAGGCTCAGGTCCTCAGGCCAGGATATTGGCAGCCACCCAGTCACCTGACAGGTGAACATCTGGAAGAGGGGGTAGGAACCTTGGATTTTTTTTTTTTTTAAGACAAAGTCTCACTACATAGCCTAGGCTGGCCTTGAACTTTCGGTGATCCTCCTGCCTCAGCCTCCTGAGTGCTGCAATTACAGGCATGTACCACCACACAGAGCTTGAACTCATGCACTTTAACCAGGCCCGTCAGCTCCTGGGATGCCAGGCCTGGATATTAGAAAGCTGCTAGGTCAGAGGCCGGCGATGCTTCCTTGACATCCACAGTCTCTGTTGTTTCTCAGGCTTGAGGAACTCAGGTATTCCTGGGGTTGCCAGTGCATCTCCTAGTTGTCTGTAGAGCAGAGAGACGCCCAGTGACTGGGCCTTTCCTCCTCCTTGGTTGGGAGCTGCTGGGAGACGCCCTATCTCAGGCTACACCTCAGGCCCTGCGGAGATGCCTCCGCCTCGCTGAGGGCTTGCTTTCTTGTTCCTAAGAAAGGAAGAGCTGCCCTCTTCTTTGGGGACTGCTGGCTCATCACAGTGGTTCTTAGAGAGTCGGAAACAGGGCTAGGGTGGGTTCTAACCATGTTTGGCTTTGTGTGGTCTTGGTGGCCCCCACGTATTCTTGGTTTTGCTTTCATGGTTTCAGTTAACCACAGTCTGAAAGTGCAGTACAGGAAATAGGATACTTTCAGAGAGAGAGAGATTGCATTCATTGAACTGCTTTTATAGCATATTGTTACAACTGTTTTATCATTAGTCATTGTTCATCTCTTACTGGGCCTAATGTATAAGTTAAACTTCATCAAGCTGGGCATGGTGGTGCACACCTGTCAACTCAAGGATGAGGCAGGAGGATCGCTGCGAGTTCTAGGCCAGCTTGGGCTACATAGCGAGACCCTGTCTCAAAAAACCAAAAAAGGGCCTGGGATTTAGCACAGTGGCTCTGCCGCCTGCCTCACAAGTGCAAGGTCCCAAAGTCGATCCTCAGTACCCAAAAAAACCCCATTTCATCATAGGTACATAGGTATATAAAAAAAACTCTACACAGAATCAGTTCCATCTGTGGTTTCAGGCACTCAGGGGGTCCTGGGGAACATGGATGGGGGAAGCTGCTGTGTTTCCTTACCATTGTTGGTGACCTTGGCTAAAAACATCAAAGAGGCTGGGGGTCTGGAGCACTGAAGGCCCTCCCGGGCAGTGCCTTCCCACCCCACCTCCTTCTGGGGGGATCTGTCAGAATAAATGGTGTGGCTTGGGCTCCCCAGGAGGGAGGCCTGGCTGGCATGGCTCACCCATGTCCATCCTTGTCCCCAGGCCACCTGGAGCTCCTCGTGGTGTTGACACGATGACCGTGTACAGGCCGGCAGAGGGCACCCACAGCCAGACTAGAGGCCTGAGCTACGGATCGGCTGACAGGTAAGACCTCATCCCTGAGGACCGAGAGACTGAAGTGGCTTCTGAGTCTCCTTCTTCTCTCCAGTGCCTCCTCTCCTCCTAACTCCACTTCTTTCGGCTCTAGAGGGGTTCTTCTTTTTTGTTTTGTTTTTTTGGTACCGAGGATCGAAGGGGTTGTTCTTTTTTGTTTGTTGTTTTTAGAGGCAAAGTCTCACTATGTGGTTCAAGCTGACCTTGAACTCACTATGTAGTCCAGGCTGGCCTTTATCTCACACAATCCTCCTGCCTCAGCCTCCCAAGTTCTGGGATGACAGGCATGCGCCTGGTGAGGAGGGGTCATTCCAATGAGCCTCCCGTAAATCATCTCCCTGCGATGCTCTCACCTAAGACTCAAGGCCAAGGTGGTAAAGAGAAGGCCTAGCTGGTGCCCAGTGTGTTGTCATGACCGAGGCCATGTCCCCACTATGCCTTCCAGCCGGGCTTTGTATTTCACGTGTCCCTGAGCCCGACCCTTCTGCAGGCCATATCACTGTGCACAGTCAGCCCTCTGGCTCTTCTACCACAGAGCTGACCGAAGCTCTGCACCCACTGGAACCTTCGGGGTGGTGGAATTGTGGGATCAGGAATTCCGAGACCTTCTGAGCACAGCAGCCACATGGAAACACGCTGTGTCCCTGGCGACACCCAAAACCATTCCACCCCCTCCCATCTCTCGCCTGAGCTCAGTAAATGCAGTGTGTTCTTCCTTCCTTCCAGCAAACCATCATTCATTCTGCCTCAGTTTCGATGAAGTCAACCCAGGTGTTTGGGCTCTGGGGTGTGAGCTAGCTGCTGTCTGTCGATAGAAAGGGTTGCAGTGTAGGCTACGAGTCGGACACGCTGTGTATTTCAACTCATCCACTTACCCACAGACTGCATGCTTATTGTCTCCCTGCTATGTACCAGTATCAGCAAGCAAGATCACTTCAGCCTCTGCACGCAGAAGGTTCCAGTTTAGAGGACATGAGAGGGTTCTTGTAAGAAAGAAGAAAGGGGGCCGGGGATTTAGCTCAGTGGTTTCGCCGCCTGCTGCTCAAGCGCAAGGACCTGAGTTCGATCCCCAGTACCAAAAAAAAAAAAAAGAAAAGAAAGAAGAAAGGGGCAAGTCCACATCCCTCTGAATTGAAAACCCATGTAGTTATCTACTGTGCGTCACTGCCTCATAGCACATGACATCCGTGTTCTGTAGCCTGTCATCTGTTGTCCCCAAGCATGCACTAACCTAGGTGTCTGTCCTCTTTCTGTCTTGTTTCTGGTACCACGAGAGCAGGGACTGTATGTTCTACCTTTTGAACCCTCAGCAAAATAGTCACAGACTGATCATGATTCTGATTAAAATCTAATTCATGCTAATGGCCTCTGTGGTGACAGGACAGTTCTACAAACTTCTATCTCCCCCAAACGCTCTGTTATGAATCCTAATTGTTTACTTAAATAAGGAAGTCTGCATTGATAGCCATGGAAAATGTTTGCAAGAAAAAAGTGTGTTCGCATTTTCACAAGTTCCTAATTTATGCTGTGCAACCAAAAACAGCAGCATCATTTGTGTGCCAATGTCTCCATGGAGGCGGAGCCTTTATAGAAACAGCCCTTAGGTTTTTGGGCTGGAAAGCTGTGGTCACTGTATGCACGACATTGCTAATTATCCGTCTCCCACTGTGCCTCTTACTGGGACTTCAGAATCCCTGAACAGCCACCTCTCTCTGTATTCAGAACACACACACACACACACAAACACACACACACCCGCCCCAGGGATTGGTCTGTGAGTGTGTACCTATCTCACATCTAAAGTCACTGGGCTCACGGGCGGGGGGTGCACACCTGTAATCCCAGCACTTGGGAAGCTGAAGCAGGAGCTGAAGCAGGAAGATCGCCACAAGTTTGAGGCCAGCCTGATCTGCATGGTGAGACCCTGTCCCAAAAAACAAAACAAAACAAAAAAGTCACCAGCTCAATCAGAAGCTTGCTGGAGAAGAATGTTTGCATTTCATACATATTCTTGTTCTCATCAGACAGACAAGCTTAAAAATGGTTTTCTTTCAAAATAATTTCTAGGGTTGAAGGTGTAGCTCCATGGTAGAGTGCTTGCCTAACAGGTATGAGCCCTGGGCCCCCAGCAACACACACACACACTCTAATGATAAATTACAGCTCTTTCTGGCACTAATTAAAATCACACGTGGAAGAATAGATCTCCATGAGTATGTTCTAGACCATTACTTTCTACAGTTTTGGAAATACTTTGCTCCATCCACTACAGCAGTCATTAGGCACAGGGGCTGCTGAAGACTTGACTGGTGACCAGGGCAGCTAGTAAGAGCCAGAATCTTTAATTTAGTTGTATTTCAGTTCAGATAGCTGCACATAAGTAGTGGCAACTGTCACACAGTACATTTCTGGGCCACTCATGAAACCCAAGCCAGCCTGCTGCATGTTCACTCACGTTGCAGGGGTTTATTGACCACCTGCTCTGCCAGCGTTGTTCTAGGTCTGGGGCGAACTGGCCCAGATAAAAGAAGGATCCCTGCCCTCCGGAGAGTCTGCTCCAGAGGAACTCAGGGGCCGGAGGAAGCTCAGAACAAGAGCAGCCAGCTCACTGTGGCTTCACTGTGCACATCACAGTGTTGAAGCCCAGGATCAGCAAGCACTTCAAGACCCGTGGTTGTTTAATCTGTAAGCAGTCATCATGAAGAACCACTGCTAGCCAGGTGTGATGTGCACACACCTGTAATCCCAGCACTCTGGGAGGCCGAGACAGGAGGACTGGGCAATTCAGTGAGACACTGTCTCAAAATAAAAAATTAAGGAAAAAAAAAAAAAAGAGGAGGCCTGGGACGTAGTTCAGTGCAAAGGCCCTAGGTTCAGTCCCCAGTATCCCCTCCCCCAAACACACACACCAAAAACCCTGGATAACAAAAGCAGGGCAAGCCTAGATTATATAAATTTTTTTCGGTACTGGGGATCAAACTCAGGACCTTGTACTTAGCAAGGCAGGTGCGGTACCACTGAGCTGCATCCCTGGCCCTAGATTATAGAGTTTCTTACCTCATGAATTTACTCGTATTTTAATTAGAGAAAAAACTAATGAAAATGATAGCCACCCTTTATTTTACACTCAGGACATGTAGATGCTTTATTCAGGCTGGCTCATTATATGTTCATGGCTACCATTTTATTTATTTACTCTTTACTTTTCCTGGGGATTGAACCCAGGGTCTTGCAAATAGAAGGAAAGCACTGTACCACTGAGCTGCCTCCTCAGCTCCTTTTTAAAAAAAATTTTAATTTTCGATATGGGGCTTGCTAAGTTGCTCAGACTGGCTCCAATTTGTGACTCTCCTGCCTCAGCCTACGAAATACCTGGGATTACAGGCATGCACCACCATGTCTGGCTATGGCAACCTTTTTATCGTTAACTCCATGTAGTAGAGAAGGAAACTGCGGTTTAGTGGACTTAACTTGCCCATGTTACACCCCGGTCAAGGTTTGAGCTGGATCAAACCCAAGCCTACTGGACTCCAGAGTCCGATTGTGCCCCTCCTCCTAGCATGCTGTCTCCCCAGGGAAAATGTAAAGCGACTTTAACGTGATGGCTTCAGTGTCTGATGCACAGCTAAAGCGTACTGTCCACACACACGGCTCCATGTGCAGCCGTGTCTCTTTCCAGTGCAGGGCCAAGGCGCCAGGTGAGAAGGCCGGGGAGGCCCCTAGAAGGCGAAGTCCGGGCCCCTGGTCCCTTTCCCAGAGACCCTCGGCAGGAGCTTCCCGGGGCGCATCCCCGACCTGGACATGCTCGGCTCCGACGTGATCGTCCGCCGCCCAGCTGCAGGGCTGGGCGCCCGGGAGGCCGGCAGGAGGCCGTGGGGAGCCCGGCCCGAGCCCCGCAGCATAAAGGACAAGATCTGGCAGTGGGAGGGCAAGGAGCGGGCCGGCGCGCAGAAGGAGCCCCCGCCGCCTCGCACCCCGGAGCCCCGCGCGCTGCAGGCCGAGGAGACCAAGGCACCCGAGCGGGGCAGGGGCACGGGCAGAGCCGGGGCGCGCGGGCTGGGGAAGGCCTGGCAGGGCTCGGACCCCCGCGCGGTGCTGACCCAGGTGCAGCGGTTGGAGCGGGCCCTGCAGGACGGCTCGGCCGGCCTGGACCCGCAGCCGCCGGGGACCTGCTACTCGGCGCCCGCCCCGCCCGGCAAGGCGGAGCGCAGCCCCCCGCCCAAACCCCGCAGGACTTTCGAGCACGCGGGGAACGTGGCCGGGAGCCCGGGCTGCAGGACGCAGAGAGCACGGGGACGCCGCCCGCCGCTGCCACCCCTGCCGCCGCCGCCCCTGCCCGAGTCCCCGCCGCCCGCGGCCGTGAGCCGAAGGCGAGGGACAGCGAGGCCTCGGCCCAGCGCAGACCACAGGTAGGTGTGGCGACGTCGCGCGTCCCCCAGAGGCCTGTGCGCAGCCTGAGCCTCTGTCAGGGTCGCCTCAGGGGTCCCCTGCTCCTTCCTCTCCTTCCTCTTCCTTCTCCTACTCCTCTTCTTCCTCTTCTTTCTCCTACTCCTCCTTCCCTCCACCCCTTGTGCTAGGATTTGAACCCAGGGTTCCCTACCACTGAGCTATATCCCCAGCCCTTTTTTTCCATTTTCAGATGGTCTCGCTTTAGTCCAGGCAGGACTCAAGCTACTGATCATCCTGCCTCATCCTCCCTCGGGGCTGGAATGGTCTTAGCATGAGGCAGTTTGTTGATTACCTAGAAATATTGGAACTGGTACATGTGTTTTGTGTTTGTTCTTAGTCCTGGAAAAAGAGTGTGCTTTAAAAAGAATTATTCTTTGTGATTAGGACTCATAATTGGGATAGTAGCCAAGAGTTAGTAAAGAGCGTTGGGAAAGGAGCAGTCTACTAATTAGTCCCTGCTGCCTGGATCTTTCTGGCCCTTTCTGTGGTTTTCATTGGTGTACGTCTGGAAACACATTGCCCGGGTCTACCCTGGCCTGTCACCCTCTATCTGTGTGACCTCGAACAAGTCACCCGAGGTGACTGAAATGTACAGTGACTATTTCCCTTGAAGAATTTCATCACAGTAAAAGATGCCCTGCACTCATCCCATCCACCCAAGGCCCCCATAGGCCTCTCCCTCTGGAAATCCACTGTCAGTTCTGTCTTTTCTTACTCCACATCTTGGTATCTGAGGACAGCTGTTTACCAGCCCCATCTGGAAACCCTGTCTTCTTGCAGCTTCTGGGCCTCCACCTCCCTGCCTCTTGGGTCTTGTCCCCTTTCTCCTGTCCCACATGTCCCGGTCAAGCCTCCTCCTCTGTGCCCAGCCCAGGCCAGGACCAGACCAGGGACTTGGCTCCTCCCCCTCCACTCACCCCTGAAAGGCCTTATCAATCCGTGGTTTGAAATGTTAAGCTGCAGGCCAGGAATTTAGCTCAGTGGTTCCACTGCCTGCCTCGCAAGCTAAGGACCCGAGTTCGATCCCCGGTACCAAAAAAAAAAAAGAAATGTTAATCTGGGAGTTTGGGATTCCCAAAGGCAAGTCTCCCACCAGTCTGAGGAGTCAATCCCAAACCTGCACCCTTCATCCCGGCCAACACTAACCATGGCCTCAGCACAGCTGTCATCTTATTAAATGGCATCACCCCTTCATTTAGTTACTTGGACGAAGGAGCTAGGAGTCCTGAGTCCTTTTGCACATGCGCCCATCTACTTTGTCAGCAAGATCTTCCATTCTTATGTTTTAAATTCTCTTTTTTTGGTACCGGGGATCAAATTCAGGACCTCATGCTTACCAGGCTGCTGAGCTACATTCCAGGCCCTGAAATTTCATCCAGAGTCAGGCATGGTGGCGCTTGCCTGTAACCCAGCCTTCAGGAGGCTGAGGCAGGAGGATTGCCATGAGTTTAAGGCCAGCCTGGAGTACCTAGTGAGACCCTGTCTCAAACAAGCAAACAAACATACAAAGTGAACAGAATTAAATCTTAGTGCTGATAGCAGTAGACAGCCTAATCTTACCCTTGACGTTACTGGTAATGCTCCTGGAGTTTCACTCTCAAACACTTATTTATTTATTGTGCCCAGAGCCTTGTGCATGCTAGGTAAGCACTCTATTACACTGAGCCACAGGCCAGCCTGGAATTTATATCTTACATTTTGGGGATAAATCCTCGTTTAGTCCTAGTTGTTGTTGTTATTGTTGTTGTCATCATTTTTATTGTCATTATTATTATTTTGCAATACTAGGGACTGAACCCAGGGCCTTTGCACTGAGCTACATCCCCAACCCTTTAAAAGTTTTTGTTTGTTTCTTTTTTGGTTTTTTTTGAGACAGAGTCTCACGCTATAATTCAGACTGGCCTTGAACTCACTATGTAGCACAGGCTGGCCTCAAACTCGCAGAGATCCTCTTGCCTCGGCCTCCCTAGTCTTGGGATTACAGGTATACACTACCATGCCTGGCTTTTTAAAATTGTTTTATTTTGAAGCAAGGTCTTATTGAGTTGCTATACTGTCCAGGCTGGGCTGGAACTTGTGATTACCCCTGCTCTAGCCTCCCAGAGTGCTCCTGCCTCAGTCTCTCAAGTGCTGGGATCACAGTCGTGCGCCACCATGCCTGGCTTATTCCTGGCATTTATTGCACTATCTTTATCAGACTTTGGTACCAGTATTACGTGAGGTCTGTAGAAGAATTTGGAAACTTCTTTCTCTAGGTTTGGAGAAGGTTGGAATCCATCTCCAGTTCTTCGGGGGCAGGGAGCGGGGTTTGTTGCTGGGAACTGAACTCAGGGCTCACACATGCCGAGCTCACACTCGCTGCTGAGCTGCAGCCCTGGCCCTCCAGTGCTAATCTGTGTGAGGAGAACTAGGGTGGGAACCCAGGGTGCTCCACCATCAGGCTACTTCCACAGCCCTTTCTCCATGGTGTTTTGAGACAAGGTCTTGCTAAATTGTTCAGGCTAGCCTCAAATGTGCCATTCTCCTGCCTCAGCCTCCTGAGCAGCTAGGATTACAGGTGTGTACTACCACCCCCAGCTCTCCTCCAATTCTGAATCCTTTCCCAAACTGGTGCTAAGGCACACCTTCCCTAATAGTCTTTTTAAAATTTTAATTTTTATTAGTACATGTTTGTAGTACATAGCAATTGTGTTCCTCATGGGAGCTGGTACACATACAGTGCATCCTCATTCTTTTTTTTTTTTTTTTTTTTGGTACTGGGGATCGAACTCAGGTCCTTGCACTTGCAAGGCAGGCGGGGGAACCACTGAGCTAAATCCCCAACCCCATCCTCATTCTTTTGCCTTTGCCTTTCCTTCCCTGGCTTCCCCTCATAATCTGTGACTTCCAAAGTCAGCCCTGCCAGCCGCTCCAGGCTGTTCCTCGCTTGCCCACGGTGTGGCTGTTCTTTCATCTGTGTCCTCTTCGGATGAACCACCTGATGACCAGCTGTTCTTATCTCGCCTCTCTTAGCTCCCAATTGCTGTTTCCCATCCTCCACCATTTTCTTTATAATCAGCTAAAGTTACTTGATTTTAGGCCAAAGATGAAATTTTTCTTGGCCAGTTGGACTGTGGTTGCATCTGCTGTGTTTTAAGACTTCTTGGCTGCAGGTTTTGCATTTTGTTCAAAAAAGTACAATGGAGGTGATTAGGGTAAGGTGTTCACTTTCTACTCTTAAAAAAAATAAAGCACGGCCAGGGATTTAGCTCAGTGGTTGTGCCGCCTGCTGTGCAAATGCAAGGACCTGAGTTCAATCCCCAGTACCAAAAAATAGAAATAAAAATAAAGCATGCGCTTTATTGTGTTACTATCTCTTAAGAAAAAAAAAAGCTGGACCATGGATTTGGCAGGTGTCCCCCCCTCCCGCCCCCCAGGAGAGAAAAGCCGGGCCAGTGCTGCAGAGAGAGGACTGAGGACCGCAGGTTACCAGGTGTAAGGTTATACGGCCAGGCCTCGAGTGGGGGTGACCGGCTGACTGTCTCCCACTTGTTCTTGTTTTGTTTTGTTTTGGTACCGGGGATCGAACTCAGGTCCTTGCGCTTTTGAGGCAGGCGTGAGGCAGGCATCGGAACCACTGAGCTAAATCCCTGGCTCTCCCACTTGTTTTCATTGGCCACTTAGTACACTCAGGAGCCAAACTGGAGGGAACATTCAGATCTTCGGTTTGAGAAATGTAATTGCCTTTCTCTTTTCTTTCCTCTTTGTATTTTTCCCTCCCCTCCCTTCCCTTTTCCCTCCCTCTTTCTTCCCTTTCTTTGCTGGTCTTTCTTTATTTCTCTAAAGCCCCAGGAAATGAAATGCAAAGATGTTTGCCTTCAGTCCTAAAGTGGAGACTGAGAAACCCTCAGATGTCAGGAAATTCTGAAGATAAGGTGCCTGCAGCAGCATTCACTGGGTTCTGTGTGTTTTATGGCCCACATTTAACAACTTTGGCAAGAATGCCTTCCGGCCCAACATTTAACAGGAAAAGTTACGGTTGTCTAAGTGTAGGCAGCATCTGAATCCAAGTGCATCTGCATACTCAGAATGTTTTAACTTGAAGCTTGAGTATAAGTTGATCACGTGACTGAGTCTTTAGGTCTTCCTGAAACCAAATAACTATGTTGACCATAATCTCAACTTTTCAACTGATTGTTTTGGCGTTGTATAGCTGCGGCTTTTCCTTGGAGCATTAGTGGAAGACTTGCAGAACTTTCTGAGGACATGAAGCCTCAGTCATTGTATGGCTGCCAGCTCACACTGTGTGGTTCACAGCCCCGTCACTTAGCCTTCACAGACAGTTTCCCCACAGCACACTGGCCAGACTGTGGCTGCAGCTATCTGTGTTTTTGTTTTGTTTTGTGGCCGGGGGTGGGGGTGGGGGGGGTTCGACAGGGCTTCACTATAAAGTTCAGGCTGGCCTCAAATTCAAGGTGATCCTCCTGCCTCGCCTCCTGAGTGCTAGGATTACCACCACACCTGGCTTTTTTTTTTTTTTTTGGTAGGGGGAATCACATTCAGGGCCTCACGCTTGGCAGGCAGGCACTGCACCACTGAGCCACATTCTCGGACCACTATCTTTGGTTCAGTAGTTAAAGTAAACTTCCAGCCATGCAGCCATGGCTCCTGCCGCTGTGAGAGTCAGCCGCTATCAAGGCTGAACTGTAATTAATGTTCAGTCTTCAGAGGAACAAACTGCTGATTAATGCGAAGTTGACAGAGCAGAAGTAACTGAAGGCTTCTGAGAAACTTTACTTAGCAAAATAATTTATTTCAGTAGTGGTTGTGTTAGAAAACGGAGACCATGGTTGTTATTTTAAGATTGTGATTCCATCTTGTTAAGAGTCACTGTCATATTGCCAGGCAAGGTGACGCACACCTGTAATCCCAGCATTCAGAAGGCTGAGGCAGGAGGATTGCCAAGAGTTCAAGGCTGGTCAGGGCCACATAGTGAATTCAAGGTCAGGCTGAACTACATAGTGAAACCCTGTCTCAAACAAACAAGCAAGCAAAACAAAACAAAGAGTAATTGTCAAGTGTTATTTCTCATTGAAAGATGGAAATAATTTTTTATTTTGGACACCAACTTAGTGGACAGAGGTAGTTTTTTCTTCTAAAATTTCTTTTTGGCAGTACTAAGGATTGAACACAGGATTTTTGTGCATGATAAGGGAAGCACTCTACCACTGAGCTACATTCCCAGTCCCTCATTTAAAACAGGTTTTTTTGTTGTTGTTGTTTTAATTTTAAGACAAGGTCTTGCTAAGTTGCCCAGGCTGGCCTCAAACTGTGATCTCCCTTCCTTAGCCTCCCAGGTAGCTGGGATTACACATGTAATATTTCTGTTTTGGATGTAAAGTAGACAAAAACCCAACATTGGTAGTCCTGGGAATCAATGGAGGAAGCACAGAATACAAGCTAAAAGCTGCTAAAAGCCTCTAGGTAGAGCTGCCCATGGTCTCTCAGGATGGACAGGCACAGGGAGGCTGCAGCTGGCCGTGGTGGGGAAGTCAGATGCTTTCTCACCTACTTAAATGGTGTTTGGAGGGTGGCAGGGTACCAGGCTGGCCAACCTCAACCCATCCAAAAAAGTAAAGTCAGGGGCCTGGAATTTGGCTCAGTGGTTCCGTCACCTGCCTCGAAAGCGCAAGGTCCTGAGTTCAATCCCTGGTACCACAAAAAAGTAAAGTCTACAGCTGAAGTAGGCATAAATTATGAGCTGTAAATATGCCCTTATAAAGCAGCTTTTAAACTGGGCATGGTGCCACACACCTCCAATCCCAACACTTGGGAGGCTGAGGCAGGAAAACCTCTGTGCGTATAAAGCCAACTTGGACTACATAGTTCAAGGCCAGCCTGATCTACATAGTGAGACCCTGTCTCAAAAAACCAAAAACAAGGGCCAGGGATTTAGCTCAGTGGTTCGCTGCCTGCCTTGCAAGCGCAAGGTCCTGAGTTCGATCCCCAGTACCAAAAAAAACAACAACCCCGAAACATTAATTTGTTTACCAAGCTAACAAATATTTACTATCAACCAATGTAGTGTTACACATGGGAATATAGTAATGAATAAAATAGACAGAAACCTTGCCCTGTGGAATTTAACAGACTAGCAATGGTTAGAAGTACAGAGCTATTTATGAAGTTACAGCCCAAGGGGCTTGGGGGACACTCAGCAGGGGACCTGGGAACAGGGCAGGCTTCTGCAGAGGAGCTGTTCAGCCTGGGGAGGGTGACAAACAGGTGACACCCTTGCAGCCAGAGAGTTGAGGCCCGAGAGGTGAGAACGTGGCCAGAGGGCCCTAGCAGATGTGAGCTTCGGGCCAGATCCTGTCCAGAAGAGACTGGTAGATCCAGAGGATTTAGGCTGCTGCCTCAGTGTGGTGGAAACCATCTGGAAGTATGTGAGAGGGAGAGATGTCAGGTCTGCATCTGTGGGAAACCTTCCTGGTGGCAAAGTGGGGACCAGAGGGGCCAAGGAGGGTGAGGGAGATCCTTGCCCTCTTGCAAGGGCACTGTGGAGGACTGAGAGGTGGGCAGGTTCCAGTGAGGCTTTGGGGTGGAAGTCTGGTTGGTTGAGACATGGGTGGTCAGAGAAGGGGTTGGGGGCACCTTCCGCAGTGAGGGCTGCAACATCTGGCTGATCTCCCCAACATGGCAGCTTTGGAAGAGGCCCTGGCCCCCTTGGAAACTATGATGAGTCCAATTTTAGACTTGTTGATTTTGAGGTTCTTACCCATTGTTCAAATGTGGTGACACACACCTGTAATCCCAGCACTTGGGAGGCTGAGGCAGGAGGATTGCCATGAGTTCAAGGCCAGCCTAGGCTACACAGTGGGAACCTGTTTCAAAAAACAAAACAAAATGAGAAGACTAAAGGGCTTCCAAGGAAGCCATATCCAGGTTTGCTTTAAACCTGGGGCCACCAAAAGAGCACCTTCCCCAGGGCTGAGCACATGGGGAACATAGGTGGAGAAACAAAGACACTGAGTGTCTCGAGGTACACACTCGAAGCACACGGCTCAGCTGTGTAGACACAGTGATTTCTGAGCCCTGGGAGAGCTGGGACCATCTGGACCCCATGCGCAGAAAAGTGAAGGGAAGACCAAGTGGAGGCCAGCTCCTGGCTGGCATGCACTAGATGCCATTCAAGGAGCCAGATGTGGTGGCACACACCTGTGATCCCAGCACCCGAGAGGCTGAATGAAGCAGGAGGATGCAAGTTTGAGCCCAGCCTGGTCGACCTCCTCAGTCTCCTGTATGCTCAGTCACCCAGACTATGTGATCCAGTCCCGCTAGAAAGCTGAGCATGTGTCAGACAGCAAACAGGAGCATCCCACGTTTGCATAGCTCCAGAGGCTGGGGTCCTGCTGGCCTCTAGGGCCCTGGTGACAACAGGAGCGGAGGAGTGGGTGCATGGGCCCCAGGAACAACAAAGACTGAGAAGGCCTGAAGGAGTAGGGGAGAGATTCCCCCTGACATCCCCCAGTCCTGAGGGGCAGCTCTGCATTCCATGTCTGCCTCTTCTCATTTTCAGTAGATGTGTTTATTTGCAATATATACATATATATGATTATTTTCATTTAGCATAATAGCATATTCTTACCAACAGAAGCCTGTCTGCTTGCTTTTTCTTTTCTTTTCTTTTCTTTCAGCACTAGGGATTAAGCCCAAGGCCTTTGCACTTTTATTTGTTGTTCTGGTGTTTTGTTTGTTCGCTTGTTGAGACAAGGTCTCGCAATGTGGCTCAAGCTACCTTGAACTCACTGTTTAGGCTGGCCTCGAACTCATGGTGATTCTCCTGCCTCAGCCCCCCAGAGTGCTGGGATTCCAGACATGTGCCTCCATGACTGCCTGAAGCATATTCACACTTTTTACAAAAAAAACAGACTCGGTTTTCGTGATAGAAATGTTTCTAAGAAGGAAATGTAGAGAGAGGAGATATATATTCTTCGAGCCCACCAAAATTGATTCCAGTTCTTGGATTTTTCCTCCCCTCATGCACAATCCAGGAAGTCCTACGAGTTCGAAGACGTCCTGCAGACCTCCTCGGAGAGCTGCAGGGCGGACTGGTACGCACAGACCAAACTGGGACTCGCGCGCACGTTGTCGGAGGAGAACGTGTACGAGGACATTCTGGGTAAGAGGCCGTGGCTGCCCGTGAGGGGCGGTGGCGCACTGCCGGATGCCACACACAGCCGGGCGTGTGGGCTAGTGAGTGAGGGCAGGTGGGTCTGGGAGGGGCTGGACGGGAGGGAAGGGCGGAATCCCACAGTCAGCGTGGGACCCTGGCTCTACCTTAGTTGTGTGAGGCTGAGCTGGTGACCTGACTTCCCTGAACTCGCGTTCTGTCCTCTGCATGTTGATAACCTCCTTGCACGAGGCTTAAAGACTGGGGAGAGGGCCGGGGATTTAGCTCAGGGGTTTCGCCGCCTGCCTTGCAAACGCAAGGACCGGAGTTCAATCCCCGGGA